TTTATTTATGTTTATTTTGGACTCGCAGCCAGCGTGAGCCGAGGATTGATAAAGTTATTTCCTTTTAAGTCTGTCTGCCTGTTGTCTGTGAACGAGCGAAGAAGGGGGGGTCAGAACAGAAACCCAAACTGGGTTTGGACTCCAACTGCAAGACTACCATTTATTGAACCACATGGGGTTTTTAAACAAAGGCAGCCTACCTTTAGGGCAAATGTCAGTGCATGGTTTACATGTTTTAATTCCATTTTCCTCTACTTCCATCTTGGGACTCGGACACGCACGTACACACGAGCTGATATCAACCACAAAGTTGTCTAAAAGGGATAGAGGGGAAAACAATGAAAAAAAATCATTCTCAAGTTGTAAATAATGAATGCCCCAATTTCCATTTCGAAAGAGACAGAGGCTCTTATGTAAGTGCTGGACATGTTCTTTTCTATGGTGTTCTATTTTACTTTCTTAAATGTTATGCAAGTTCACATTCTCATGCTTTATAGCTAATTTAACATTCTTTAAAAAAATTATTTCCCACAACATATTCACACTGTGACTTTTCTAAATAAGAATAATATTTTGGAATATATCTGTAGTATATCCATCAGAAGCTATCAATTCTTACCATCACATAAAAGGCATTGGATAGTAAAGATATTGGCAATTGGTTTTAAAATGAAACCATCAAAATAAAATGTAATTTATATAATTTTTTTTAAAATAAAAATAATTTTATTTCAGTTAGTAAACAAAATGCTTCCATAATATAAAAGTAGAATTGGCTGTTATACTGGTCTAGCATTTACAATTATCTAACTGCTTAATTTTCAACTATAAGAAACATACATTCACACTGCTTCAGAAGTGGGCATTCTTTTGGAACTAATAGTAGTAATAATAATGCCAATAATAATTGAAACAGGATTATATAGCAATCCTATGATGATTACCACCATTAAACAACATCAGCCTATCTCACGTCCTTGGGAAGGATTCAATTAAAAATGCCAAATGTGAGACTAATCATAATAATAATGGTGTAAAGCATCTGGGATATCCAGCAAAGTGAAGAAAACTGTTGAAATTGAAGGAAAGTGAAGAAAATTGAGCAATCATTAAATACTATTTCTCATAAAACCCTACAACTAGGAGATATTAAAGATAATGTTTGATATTTGGAATCATAAATATCCAGATTTAGAAATCCATGTATAGCAATTAAGGAAGCAATGAAAATTTCTTCTTGGAACACAAGTTTTACAGATAATGAACTGCAAGACCTGGAAAACTATCTGAAAATTCTAATAATATTGGTAACAACAACACAAATAAAACTTATTTCATCATCAAATAAATCAAATAAAATCTCATCAAATCTCATCTTCTTGAACGTACACAGTAATACCATCTTTCAACATCATCTTTTGATCTAATTATTACTCATACTCAATTTATATAAAAATTATAACTACTAATATTCCCCTAATTCTTATTTCTACCTTTATTCTGGCTTCTAGTCAGGTAACTCTTACTAAGTGATTCCTAATGTTAATGCACATATTTATGTTAAGACATAGCCCTTTATATAAAGGTGTATATTCTTATTTCTGCCTCTATTTCTAGTTTTTAATCAGGCTATCATTATATTAGAAAAAAGAAGAAAGAAAAAATGGGGGGAGCTCTATTCTATCCATCATCTCTTACCCATTTTAATACTTTGATTCTTACTCATTTTTTTGGCTTTCCTCCCATATTCCTCTCTTGGATCTTTGTCTCTATCAACATCTGTATCTTCATTATTCCATCTAAATATTTCTCCCATTTCTATCCTCTTAAACTGCCAAATCTTCCAGATTATCCAATTCCAATTCCATTTTTATATCTCTCAAAAAGTTTTTCTCATCTTCTTGTTTTATTTGGTGATTTGTCTGTTCTATCTTTTCCTCCATTCTTTCCACCACCTCCTCTCTTTCCCGGACTCGGTGATCTTCATTCATTGCCATTTGCATAATATTTTCTACTTTGTCACTTATGCCTTGGATTAAGTCTTTTATCTCTCTTTGGTTCTTCTTTATGTTATCCCTAATGCTTTGAAACATCTACACCATTTCTCTTGAAATCTCACTCATTTCCTCCTGAAAGGGCATCTTATCTTAGTTTAATAAGTCCACTTTTAGTCAGGGCCAAAAACAATATATTCAGTTCCATTGGTATATCTGTTTCCTCATCAAAGAGTTCAATAATCATAGCTCTTTACATCTCAGGGTTATTAATCAATTCCATTTAAATAGTCCAGACAGTTTCCACACAACAAAAGTTAAAATCCAAATTTCATTCAGTTTATAGAGACAAAATTAAATACTCGAATCAATTCAGGTACATAGTTCTAGCATATTATAATGCTTTTCCATAACAATGCCTACCCAGTTTAAAAACCAATTTTCTTGATTAAATGGTCTTTAGCTTTACTCCCCTCAGTTCCTTTCATTCAGTTCTAGGATTTTTCTCTGTATGGTTGTTCACCGCTTTAAAAAAGATAATTCTAAGAGTCTCTTTTCCTGGATTTTCTTCTTCTTTTCAAGTTTAGGAACTAAATGCAAAAAGAGAGGGGATCTTCTCACCCAGCTCCAATCATTGTTCACTAACTCCATTCCAGCACCAGTCATAGGTGTTCCTCGGCTGCCCCAGCTTCGTGGGAGCCATGGTTAGGCTGCCTCTTCTCCTCATCATGGTTGAGAGGGGAAAAAAATCCTGGGTCAGGCAGGGGAGTTGCAAATCTCTGTGACATTGCAGGGCACCCTTCTTTGCTTCACCTCTCCTACAGGGAGGCTTTGGCTCCTTTCAGAGCCTACCAAAAGGGAGAATATGGCACGGGATCTCAGAGACCCACTCCTCATGTCCTATCTCACCACAACGTCAACTGGAAACCCCCAAAGAGTGATTTCATTTGGAAAGAAATTTCAATAAATTATGAACTAATATCAACAATCAGGAAGGAAACCAAAATTTAAAAACAATAATAAAGGACCATTTACAGAAAAAGTATAATCTTAGTAGTAAAATGAATTAAAATGAGTAACAGCTATTTCAAACACAATTGATATGAAGCTAGATTAAATCAACTTCAACAAAATCAGTAGTTTCAAACAATGAGCAGTTTTATAAAACATTCCAGTGAAATATTACAAAAATACATGTTTGTCCTTATAAAGATAAAACATTAACATTTTGGAGTGTCATCCAAAATAACCCATAAGACCATAATAAAAATGCAATTTGGAGAAAAGAGATTAAGAAGAATGTTGGCTCAATGAAAATGAATGACATGGTTATTACATCAGGAATGATTAAAAATAAGCAGAAAAAAGTTTAAAACTTCTCAGTAAAAGAAAGAGAAGAAATACAGTAACTTTGGCTCTAATTTCTGATGACCCTAATTTTTTCATTAGTGACATATTAAAAAGAGTAAACATTAATTAATATATGACAACTGATAGAGCATTTTAATAATAATAGACAAGAAACAGTGGTATAGTTGGAAGCAACTATAGCAATTATGCCAATCATGTGCTGTTCAAGCTGCTAATTGGTATATTAGTAACTTAAATTTCAAGTTATATTTTTTTAAAAAAAATATTGTATCTTCCCTGACCAAAGTAACTACCAAAATTCACAAGCAACAAAATATGTGGTTGATAAAATAGTATTAAAATATTCCAAATGAAGTTCAACAGATACAAGTGCAAAAAATTCTAAATTCAAAGGGAAATGGCTGAAATATGATCTAAGGATCGTATCTATAATCAAATATGCTGCTAGTATAATACACAGCTGCAATTGGACAAATTAAATCAGAAAGCCTCAAAAAGTGATGATAATGCATATGCATTGCATTCATTAGGTGGTGTAAATCAATTAAATTTAGCATGAAAAATTTGAGGGTGTGACTGCATGTAAAAGAGGCAGTTGCAGAAGTTGTGGTTTAAATGCTTATTTCCAAGGATACAAAGTGAAAATGCTTATCACAGTTACCAAAAGAAAACTCAGGTGCCAGCCAGGAGCCTAAGAATCAGTGGTGGGATTCAGCCAGTTCGCACCTAGTCGGGAGAACCAGTTGGTAACTTTCTAAGCAGTTGGGAGAACCGATTGTTGGAAGAAATCTTATTTTTCTTTTTTTCCACTTTGCAGGACTAATCCTGTTAGGAAGGCAGGAAGGAAACCTTCTGGTGTTGTTTCTAGCCTGATCCTTATTGCCCTGCTTACAGAAACGGCCTCTCTGGTTAACCCTTATTACCATTGTAACAACTAAGGCGAAGTGCTCATCGACCTGAGTGACGTTGACTTGGCCACGCCCACATGATCACATGACCACCGAGCCCCGCCTATCCAGCTGGTCATTAGGGCAGAGAACTGGTTGGTAAATTATTTGAATCCCACCACTGCTAAGAATCCTGAAAGTAGCAAAAAAAAAAACAACCACAACACTGTAAAACTCAATTACTAGAAAATCACTTAGAAACCATTGCATTGTACATTTTTTTAAAAAAAGTTTAAAATAAACATTAAACATTTAAAATGAACATTACAAACATATGAAATTAAATCAAGGATTCACTATGCTTAAAGGAGCAGGAAACACATTTTTTTTAAAAAAGAAAGAGATGAAACTGTGGATTATGTGATCAGTCAGTGGATGCAACAAAATTACCTATAAACATCATGGCAGATTAGTTACTATGATGTACAGGAATCTGTGCCAAAATTTTAATTTCCAAGTTTCCTCAACAGGGTATAATTACATAATTGAAAAAGTTGCTAAAAATTATGTTAAAGTTTATGAGATTTTATGAGAAACTTATTTTAGCAACACAGCAGATGCAACCATAATTGAAAAGAGTATTTTATAGATGTGACTGTATTCACGGATAGCAGAATTAAAGAAAAATAATTTGATAGTAATTACAAAACATGGACAACTAATAATCAAACTGGGTTGATTATGGAAAAAACCCTTTTATTTTGTAACAGCAGAGGTGG